ACAAACCCAATCTATAATTTAAAAAAAAAACAAACTTTTTTCCCTATTGCTAAAGTATTAAGGAAAAATGTTTTCTATACATGAATTCTCTGCCAACATCCATTCTGATCCAGGTAGTAAAATGTTCAGGGAGGTATTGGCTTTGGAAGTCATTAAGAAATCTAGAATTACATCTTAGTGATTGTGAGGTAACCCGCTCACAGCCAGAAAGCTTTAATCACATGTTGTAATCCATGCTGGGAATCCCAAGGCCTGAGCCTCAGCAGAGTCAGTTGATAGTGGAGTCAAAATGTAGCATTTCTACCAGAAATGATACCACAAGCTTTCCAGAATACTTGCTGAAATTTGGGTAAGAGTCACACTAATGAATGACTTGTACTTTGGAGTATCAGAAGGTGAAGAGGAAGTAGAGATTCACATCAGGTGCATTTTTACATTTCTAAGCAGAGACATCAGCTGAAAGAAACCTACTGTCTCAGCAAAAGAGTCCTACAAAAACAAAGAATGGTACAATGCTCCAGTTCAGCGTCAAGAACTTTAGCAAGGTAATGAGTCCTGTGGGCACACACTGGTGTTCAAGGAACACCGTTAGGTAGGAGACCAATGGAAAATGCATGTGAAGAAGCTGAGAAACTGAGCAACTTGCCTGTTTACAAAATACTGCAGAGAATAATGGGAGTTCTACAAAGACAATTCATCACAACCATAGCTGCATCAGTTGGATTCCTCTGTAAGCTGGAGAAAAAGGACTGATGGACAGTAAGCCAAGCAGACTTGAGGAGAATTGACTATTCACTAGTTATAAAGGGACTCTCCAAGCTAGAAAATAGTTCAGAAGGCAAGAATTCAGATACAGGAGCCGCTGTGTTTCATTACCTACAGGGAAATCCACAAACTCTGATTCAATATGAGAGGGAGATCCCAGATGGCCCAGATGGGGTTATAGGGAGATGGGAGAGAGCTAAACCCAGAGGTAACTCTTTTCTTTCCTATTGGTTCAGATGTGGAGACTTCCAGGATTCATTAACAATTGGTAATGTCCCCATGTTCTAGGACTTAATGAATCATTGGAAGTGAAGAACTTCTACCTGGCATGTCAACCTAAAGAGTAGATAGTGACGAGATGATCCCTTCTTTTTCCCCTAGAAGCCTTAACCTTGGGTTTAAAGTACTTGATCCTCTAGCAAGATCATTAGGGTGTAACTATAGCTGCTAAAGTCTGGGCAAGATGAATTGAGTTTTTCAGCTTTTCTCAGTGTGCTCAGCGGTCTCAGCCACTTAGCAATTTTAATTTTGTACCTTTTATTTTTAATTCAATTAAATAAATATGCTCTAATCTATAATGGAAATGAGTAGTCTTTTCAGGTCACATTTTATTAAGAAGAAGATTAGAGTATTAGGGGTAATGAGGGCATATGAATCAAATAAATTATAATTTTTATATTCACCCACTAGACTATTATAAATTGGGGTTACTGGGAACCACGGGAACCCAAGAAGGCAAGGAGTCTGTGCATGTGCAAAGAGCTTTGAGATCTGCTTTCAGACAAGGTGCTGTTTTCCCATATGTGAGAAAGAACAAAAGAAATAGCATGGCGTGGTATGTGGAGTGTTGCATTTGGATTCAGGAAGACCAAAGTTTAAATCCCACCTTAGACACATAGTAGCTGTGTGACCCTGAGTAAATCACTTAACCTCTCTGGGCCTGTTTCCTTACTGGCAAAATGAGATGCTTGGACTTCATGACTCTAAAATCCCCTGCTGCTTTAAAATCTATGAGGCTATGAACTAGGGCAGCTCAAGCTCAGAGCTCCTCCTTGTGGCTTATACAGAGATTGCACTATGTTCAGCTATTCCCGCCCCACCTACTAGAGAGATTAATAGATAGAACATTGGTCCATCCTAAATTAAGCATGTGAATCTATCATGAGTGTATACCAAGCAGGTCTTCCTTTTTTTTAAGAGAGATTTTTAAGAGGCATGTTAGTATAGTAAAAAGAATTCTAAACCAGCAGCCAGAACTCAGATTCAAATCCCGGCTCTGATACTTACTAGTTGTATTGCCTTGGATTCCCTGGCTCTCAGTTTCTTCATCTGCAAATAAGGAAGTTGGACTAGATGATCTCTGAAATTCTATGGATCAGTAGCTCCTGAAAAATTAATTCTATTTCAGGGTCTGAATGTTATCAATCATTTGCCCAGTATTTACTGAGCACCTGCTATATGCCAATGTAGTTAGCCTGATCACTGTGTACAACCTAATCTAACAATTCACATTCTGACCCGATTATTCAGGCTAGCTGTCTTCTATCGATTAATCAATAAACACCTATTAAACACCTACTATGTGCTGCGCATTGTGCTAAGCTTCCTTGGCATTTCTGATACTACCTAGTGGCCGGTAGCCTAAATCTCTACCCATTTATAACAATACTTCTAAATGATGATCACAACTAACATACAGCACTTTGCAAACTGTTTAACGTATGTTAACTCATTTGTCTCACAACAACCCTATGAAGTAAGTACTGCAGGAACATTAACTTCATTTTCACAGATGAGGAAATTGAGGCTCAGTTTTTAAGTGGATTACTGACTAGATAATTAGTGCTGGAGGCAGGATTTTAATCTCTCTCTTCTTGAATCCATGGCCAGTATGCTTGCCACTACAGCAGAGACTAAAGAAAATTAGTGTTCTGCCAATACTTTATGAACCACTGTGTTTTTATAGCCCTTGAAACTACTGCATCTTGGCAGGGTTGGTGGTAGGGAATGGGGGTAGGGGAGACATGCAAGCAATGAGAGAAGACAGCTGTGATTTCATTGTATAAGAGCTCCCAGTGTTAAGACCCCCTTTGCCAATGCAGATCCTCAATTCATCTCTAACTTGGAGTCACAGTTGTCTGTGGCATGGAGGTTAAGTGATGTATCCATGATAACACAGCTAGCATGTATCAGATGAAAGTCTTAAACCCAGGTCCTCCTGATTCCAACACTGATCCTCTGTCCATTACTCCATGGTTCCTGTCTTGAAAGGCTCCATCATGTGTAACTGTTAAATTGACAGGTTTCCCCTCAGAGGTGACTGCATTATTGGAAAGAAGAACATTTTCTTCCAGAAGGGTTTGTGCAAAGGTAAACATCTCCACTCTGTAATACCTATCCCCACACTTAGAATAAACATGGATATCATGACCAATCATAAAGGCAAGAATTCACCAAAGGCATCAACATAAGGCTGCATTTATTTTTTTCCTCCAAAAACAATATTTAATGAAACTGGTTTTCTTTATTGCTGGTTGATTCAAATGCTTTATGGAGTGTTTATACAACATGATGTTTTAGGACTTTCAATGGACACAATATTGCTTTTAATTACAACATCAATACAATGAGTAATGTCAGTCATGTTACAGAATCATATATGATTAGGGTTGGAGAGGACTTAGACTATATAGGCCAATCCTCTTACTTTGCAGATAAGGAAACTGAGGCCCAGAGAGGTGAAAGGGGGAAAAATTCTAATAATCAGAGCTGTCCAAATGTGGAAGATCTTAGAAGGTACTTGTCTTTCACACAATGCTTTTAAGCAAAGCATCTATGACCATTTGTCACATATATAGTAGAGAGAAATATTTCTCAGGTACAGGTTGGACTACATAATAGTTCCTTTTGTGACCCTTGACCCTCCTCCCTTTACATCCTCCACTTTCTCCTTCTACAAAACACTTTTCCCTTGAAATATACCAACTGTGCTCAGAAAAAGCCCAGACATTACATAGTTAATCTATGTAGCATATAATCATCCTATCACCAACATTGTCATTGAAAAAAAAAAAAAGAAAGCCTTGGGGCAGCTAGGTAGTGCAGTGGATACAGCACCAGCCCTGAAGTCAGGAGGACCTGAGTTCAAATCTGGTCTCAGACACTTACTAGCTAGCTGTGTGACCCCAGGCAAATCACTTAACCCCCATTGCCTACACACACACACACACACACACACACAAAACTGCCTTCCAGACCATCCAGTAATTAAAGCCCAAGGGGTAAATAATAATAACTTGTATTTGTAAAATGAGGTACTTTCCACTTCAGTGATTCTGTGCAAAGATTTATCCAAGGTCCCTTAGCTAATAAGTAGCTGAACTAGGACCCAAAGTAGTATTACTTTGAGTCACATGTTATTTGTACTATACCACACTGCCCCATCCTTCTGGAGTCAAAAGCCTCACCTGAAAAACTACTAGGCTATAAATTCCTTGGGGAACTGGAATGGGTTCTTATATATCTTTGCATCCTCTCCTCTAACACCAAGAATAGATTCTTGGACATCTTTTGTTGAATATATGTTGAATGAAGGAATAAATGAACTATACCTGAAGAAAAGGTAACTTGAGTTTTATTAACTGCTACAGAATTACACCCTGCCTCACAGGCTGGTGTAAGGAAAAGGGCATTGTAAACCCTAAAATGCCTATTAAAAAGGGGGCTATTGTCACCTTTGTGGTCATCATCATTATTAATTAACCTTTCATTTTCATTTTTAAGTCCTTTCACTCTCCCAAGCAAGAGTATAATTCAGAGGAAACTCTTATGACTTGAATCATTATTACCCAGCTTTGGATATCATAGAGATGAAATCAACTCAATTCAACAAACACTTATTAAGCACCTATGTGTACATAAGACTGCATTAGATTCTGGGGATGAGGGAAACAAAGTTAAGTTTAGATTAAAATACACTCTCCCCATGGACAGTCCAATAGGATAAGAAAATACATACATAGATAGATAAATATAATATATGATAAATGTATTAGATGGGGCAACACACCCCCTGATATATACTAACTATGGCCAGAAAAACTCACCTTTCCCAGCAATGGGATATTTCATTTTTACTGAGCCTCTTTCCTTCCTGAAATCTCTTGAAAAAATGGTGGCTGCAAGGGTCCAAGAGGTGTATGTGTAAAATAATGCTGATTCAACGTATTTGCTTTCCTCCTGGGCTCAGTTATGGTGCAGGGAGGCTAAACAAGGAATATCAGAATCCGCACAACCACCGCCACTGCCACCATCTTGCCAAACACATTCTACCAGGTGGCTAATCATTTGGGGGTGCAAACTCAAATTCATGTTTTGGGGACATCATAAAAGGGAGGCTTAAGTCTAGAGGTCATTTCTTCTACTTTAATGCTGATTAATTTAATCCCACATCTACCTCTGAGAGAATGTGAGTTTTATTGGGTGGAGTTGAGAAGACAGCATCACCCTAAGTCAGACTCTAACTCATCTGACCTTCCTCCTCTTGAATCCCCTTTTATCTTTCAAAACACCTTATTTTTGAAATATACCAATTATGCTCAGAAAAGGCCCTGCCATATCATTGCTAATCCACAAATCAGATATTAGTTCTCTTCCCAACACTACTGTCATTGAAAATAACTCCACACAATCTGGTGATCAGAGCCAAGAGGTTAAATAATAACAGCTCACTTTTATATAGTGTGCTGTTCACAATAATACTGGGATATACAAAATGTAAATGATTATTATCCATGGTTTACAGTGGAGGAAACTGAGGTCAGAAGTCAAGCTTGCATCTTGCCCACAGTCACAGAGCTAGAAGGTGGAAAACAGAACTCAATCCTGGGTTCTCTGACTCCAGATGCAATGTTCTCTGTCCACTACACTGCACTGCCTTTTCAACCAATAAAAGAGTGCTTGATTCTCCGTTTGCCCTAGAACCTTGGCAGCTACAAATCACTTTTATTTTTCATCACACAACTTTGAAAACCACTTGCAAGCAAAAGCAAAACATGTCCATTCCCCAAGGGTATTTGATACTGTTATCTTGTTAATGAAAATCTATTACAAAAATGACCCTCAGTCATCATACCACACTTACCCAGCATTCCTAGAACATGCATTAGTGTCTGGGAGTGAATACAAGACTGGAGACAGAATCAGAAGACGTGCAGTTCCTACCTTTAGTCAGGAACCAAGCTGGAGACAGCTAAAGGTTCTGGCAGTGTTTACCTCACACAAGGGGTGATTTTATGAGCTGTACTTACAATGTTTTTACTTCTATACATGCAAATAGGTGTGCACTGTTGGGGCTTAATAAAAACCAGTATAAACACTGAATTCTTCAAGGGGGACACAAAGAAACTGTATGTACACACTTCTCATTTATATTCCTCCCATGTATGTTTCTTAAGCAATGTTAATGCATTGGGACTGAAGAATTCCCAGGGGTCCAACATATTGAGGCCAACAAAAGACCTTCCCTGGCCTGAGTATTTCCAATGGCCTGTACTCTCTCTAAAGCAAGATTTTTTTTATGCCATCAAGCCAATTTTAAATGTGTCCCAATCTGAGTTTAGAGCACGACAAGCAGAATCATCCAAGTCAGTGAGTCAAGTCAAAAAAGAGGTCATGTTTTGGTGAGCAGTCAAAAGACAGACCCAGCTTCCTTAACCTGCTTTACATAATTATCATCTAGGATGCTAAGGGAAAAATCAGATCGTGTGCCTCAGAAGACATAGAGCTCATGAAAGAAATTCATTTGGCTTTTCAGGCTATTTCATCTGCTTCTAATCTAACCCCCTACCCTACCCAGCAATGCTGCCAGGATGGCCAAAGCTTGTTGGATTTACTATGGTAAATCAAAGATCCATGTAATAGACCCTGCTGAATGGAGTAGTTCCAGGTTCAAACATGCAAAGATTATACACATTTAAAAACTGCCCTTGAGCTTAAAAAGCATCTTCGAAGACTAAACCACAGTAAAAAATAAAAAAAAAAAAAAAAAGGTTGTTCAAGTCATGATGTGAGGCCATGATACCATTCATCTGGCTAAAGCCACTCCAGAACCATTTTCATTTCAAACTTTGGCCAAACTGACTCTCTGGAGTCCCTTTATGCTGAAGCCTATTTACCAGGAGAGTGATGGAATGATTCTTCACTTGGATAGGATTACTATCTGAAAAGATCACTCTGTTCAGTGTTTTCCAAATTGAATTCTGACAACCATCCTGGGCCTATAGGGGCACCCAGAGACCAAAAGTCACTCTCAGTACAAATCCTCTTCCCTTTTCCTGGATTCTTGCTATTGCTTCATTGGAATATTTTTCCAGCTAACTCATACTCTCTCCTCCAGCAACCACTTAATCTTTATTGCAATTCTATCCTTCCTGTAGTTACTTACAAAGGATCATAGGATAATTGGACTTAAAGATAAAAGAGACCTTGGATATCTTCTAGTCCAACTCGCTCATTTTGTAAAAGACTTATTTGAAGAACAAGGAGGTTGAGCAAGAATACCAAGACGTTTCTCCTCCTTATGCTTGCTGGACCAAAAAGAAATCTCCCCTCACTCAATGCTACTAACCGGAGATTCATTTAAGTTTATAAACTATAGCTTACATTTTGGGAGCATGCAGACCTTGACAAGAGTTCAACAAATTCATTCACTGTTTCTGCCTTTCTTTGTATCCCCTGAGCTAATCATAACACCTAGCACATAGTAAGTGCTTAATAAATGCTTGTTGACTGGCTAACTGATTTCTTGGTATCAGTTGCTTTACTCAGATATCTACATGGTCGAGATCAGTTTCAAACAGTTAACATTTTCTTGAGTGGGGAGGAGAGAAAGAGAAGGAAGAGGAGAAATAGGAGAAGATATGCCCCAGCAATAGGTCAGACAACAACTTCTCTTGACTCCACCACCCCAATATTTATTATAGGTACTCAGGAATTGTACTGACTGGCAATATTCCAAGCCTTGGCTATGATCCCAGATGAAATTCTTTTACAACAAGGAATTCTAAATAACTAATGAATTGTCACTGTCATAGGTTTGGGTATGCAAGACTTGCATTTCAGAGACTATTTCCTCCTAGGCACTATACGTACAATTTAGGTCAGCTGCCCTCAGTTAGCAACAGGTGGTCACTGGGCAGTGATCTTCTGGCCCAAACAACTAAGCTGCCACAGATTTGTCTTGGCTTGTAATGTGAATATTCCAGGCAATATCTGAAGCAAACAAATCTGTATACAATAAGAAATCTGAACATTCCTTTAGATTTTTTTCCTTTGTTATGTGTTTTTTATCATGTAAATGAAAACAAGTTAGATGATCTTCTCCCCGAGATGCTGGTAAAAACTGTTTGGTTTTGTTTTTACATTTCCACTACACATTTCTGAAGAACAGAGGGTTTGGGGGCAGGGACAAGGAGGTAAGTCAACATACAAATACTGTCTCTATTATAAAATCAAACCATAAAAGAGCTGTTATCAAAATGCTGTTCATCATATCAGTCTCAGACGAGTCACACGTGAACTTCCGGTGGAAATATACAAGGTATACAGAATCCGGTGGAAAAAAAATAGGTTGACTGACATTAAAAGCATCAGTGCTTGCCTGCCCCATATTTACAATTTTCAACAAAAATGACATTTTTGTATGACTGTGAGTCTGCAATGTAACTAAACAGTTGGAGGACAGATAATTCTCAAACAGGACAACTGATTACAAAACCTCCACGGATGCCAAAGTCAATCTCCAAACTTGGCCATGAGCCAATCTAGCCTCATGGATGCACAGGTTTTGAGAAGACCTGATCTGATGGCCCTAGACTCGTTTCACCCAGGGTAGCAACAGAATTTGAATTGGCAGAAGGCTGTTCTGCTTCTTTGTGGCTACTAAAAGATTCACTGTATTCTACTCTGGATGCACTCTAGTGTAGGCATGACAACCTTGGGTGGGGCCCCAGATGAGGAGTCAGGATGATTTCCATGCCAGTTCCTTGATGCTGCTCCTGAAATTTAAGCAGAAGGAAAGGTGATCAATATGCATTTTTAATGTTCAAGAGGTTTAACAAAGATTTGATTTTCAGGAATTTCTTGCTCTATATAATATAACACATTTGCTTTATGTGAAGCTAAGATAAAAATAAAACTTTCTTACAAATTATATTTTCCAATGATTTTTTTTGCAGCAAAAATAGCTGCTACATAAATACCTCCTGATCTCTGAAAAAGTTATGTATTTCCAATAATAGAGTTCCTATTTTCATCAAACAACATTAATTGGGGTCAGGGAACCATGTAGAAGAGGACATGGTTGAGGCAAGAAGGATGAGATTAACACAATTAAACCAAAAAATAAGTCTTGAATATAAACTGATTGAAAGATATGCACATAAGTATAGAAAAACAGCAATTATCAGGAAAAATACTGCTTCTTAGCTAGTAACCTCAACATTAGAATAGAAACTACAAAAAGGTCAATCACACCCCATACAATAATTTGTTTCTTGTAAACAGGTCTAAATATACAAAATATTTGCCAGATAATATGCACATTCTTATCCAATTCCTTTTAAACCATGGAGGAAGCTAACGATAAAAGAGAGAATTCAGCAACATGGAGGAATTGATCTACTTCAGAATCATAGTATCACAGAATCTTAGAGCTAACCTCAGCAGCTATATGAGTCATATTGCACAGCTTTGTGGCCACAAAGCCACCCTGCATCCAGTCTGATGAGGGCTTCATTAGACTGAGTCAGAAGCTCTGCTTCTGAATCTTGTCCCCACCACTTACTATCTTAGAGATCTTGGATAAGTCATTTAATCATCTCTGCAAAATGAGGGGGTTAGACTAAATGATCTCTGTGGTAGCTTCCAGTTTTAACATTCTATACTTTCTGAGCCTCAGTTTCCAAATCAGTAAAATGGAAATAATCATCCTTGCCTTTCCTACCTTGAATGGCTGTCCTAAAGATCAGGGAAGATAATAGAAATAAAATGGCTTTGTCAAAAATCAACAGACACCCGAATGTGAGAAATGACTATCATTCTTTTGATTTTATCGATCTCATTCTGTTCATCTTTTTCTATGGAGTGTAGATGAAAACAATCCTGCCACAAGTTGCTCTTCTATTTCTTTTTTATCTGACCTGATTAGTATAGGGAGATCCAGTGCAGAACCTCCTCTACCCATGTTCCTAAACATCTTCTGTGCCACTTGTAGTCTGAGCAAGTTAGTTGCCAGGGGCACTGAGAAGGTAAGAGATTTACCCAAGGTCATCTAGGCTGTATATGTCATAGACAGGATTTGAACCTAAATCTTCTCAACTCTGAGGCCAGCACTCTATCATTCTTTTAACATTCAATATTCTGCAGACTCTTGCACGGGTGATTTTTAATACATTTGTTTATTTATTTTTAGTACTCAACATTTACTTCCATAAGATTTTGAATTCCAAATTTTCTCCCCTTCTCTCCCCTCCTCCCACCCCAAGATGGCATATAGATTGATATAGGCTCAACATATACATTTGTATTAAATCTATTTTCACATTAGTCATGTTGTAAAGGAGAATTAGAACCAATAGGAGAAACCATAAGAAAGAAGAAATGAGGGAGACAGGGACAGAGAGAGACAGAGACAGAGAGAGTGCAAATAACATGCTTTGATCTGCGTTTAGACTCCATCATTCTTTTTCAGGATGTGGATATCATTTTCCATTATGAATCTTTTGGAGTTGTCTTAGATGCTTGCATTGCTAAGAAGAGATAGTCTATCAAAGTCAGTCATCACACAACGTGGCTGTTACTGTGTACAATGTTCTTCCTGGTTCTGCTTAATTCACTCAGCATCAGTCCATACAAGTCTTTCCAGGTTTTTCTGAAGTCTGCCTGCTCATCATTTCTTATGGCACAATAGTATTCCGTTACATTCATATGCCACAACTTGTTTGGCCATTCTCCAACTGATGGGCATCCCCTCAATTTCTAATTCTTTGCCACCACACAAAGAGCTACTATAGATATTTTTGTGCATGTGGGTCCTTTTCCCATTTGTATGATCTCTTTGGGTTACAGACCTAGAAGTGGTATTGCTGGGTCAAAAGGTACACACAGTTTTATAGCTCTTTTGCACAGGTAATTTTTTAAAAATTGTTTTTGTAATGAATAAAAATATTGGTATGTAAGTTCATTATCTTGATTATTGTTAAGTAAATCTAGTGGGGGATGAATAGGTATTGCCCTAACCTCTAAAATCTTGTTTGTTTTTTCTCCTCTCTACATATACACATACATATATCCTAGAAGGATTTTAGAATTAACTATGGGTGGCTCTAGCAGAATAAGACCTTTTGAAAGGCTTTCAAACCATCCCTGAAAGTTTGGCCCTTCTTCAAATCCTGGTTTTAGCCCCTGGATGATCCTTTAGAAAACTATATTGGGAGTCCTCCCACTGTACTCACAGCTGAACTAATGACTGGTGCCAAGATTAATCAGTAACCTAGAAGGAAGTTTAATAAAGCCCAAGTTTATAGAATGTCAACAAACTAGGTTACTGTGAGAGCTGACACCTGTGTCATCCCAGCTGACCAACGGAAAGTCTATTCTTACAACTCAATTAAGTTTTAAAGGGACCTGTTCCTACTCAGGAGTCCTCATGTTCTCCAGAATGGCTGGATAAAAGAAAGATGACTTTATTCTGTCCTCATTCTAAATTGAGAAAACAGAGGTTAAGTGATTTGCTCAAGGTCACAAAGCTATTATGTGTCTGAGGCCTTATTTGAACTCAGGTCTACCTGACTCCAGGCCCAGCAGCACTGTATCCACCATACACAAATACATATACATATATATGTAAGTGTATGTATGTGTATATATATATATATACATATGTAAAATGTATATCTTTCATGGGATTTAGAATTGGAGTGGACATTAGGAGTCAAGTAGTCCAGTCTTTAAATTTTACAGATGAGGAAAATGAAGCTTAGGCTTCCCCATAGTCATACAGCTCGTGATCAGCAAAGCCTAGATTTGAGACCTGGTTCTCTAACTCAAAACCCACCTCTTTCCACTATACCACACTGTTTCCATGTTTTGCTTACACGTGGCTTCATCATTCTTGTCACCTTCCTGTTAGTTAAGCTATAGCAAAACAATTCCCTTACATTGGGGTCAATTAATGTTACTCTTTCAAGACACTGCCTCTCCAATGTGATGGACCACTTACTTGCCTTTGTGGAAAACAACAACAAGCTATTAGCTGTATTCATAGCTACTGTCATTTTCATTCCATTTTGTTCAATGTCCGGGGATGTTGCATCCTGGACAAACAAGAAATAGACAAATAGTTGTCGTATTAACTAGGCTAGCAGTGAGCCTCTGATCTCTCGGCAGAAGATGGGTAGAGGCAGTATGGGGAAAGGAGACAAGAGACACAGGAGAATTTGTATTTGAAGAGCATTGGCTTTCTCAATGTGTGTGTGTCTCTATTGATACTGTTTATTAGTTTCACAGACACACAATCTCACTCATGGTAGGCAATCAATTTTCATCTAAGCTGCTCCATTTTCTTATACTTAGTGTGTTTTTTGTCTGTCCTTATAAGCCAATGGTTATTTAGCTACCTCTTAAAGACATAATGGAGTACTTGAAATATTGCTGGACTTGGAGTGAAAAGAACTAAACCAACCCTTACTACCTATATGACCTTGTATAATTCAATTAACCACTCAACCTTTGCTTCCTTATCTATAAAATGGAAATAAAAGGATCGTTGTGAGAAATATCATTGTTATTCAGGCATCTCAGTCATGTCCAACTCTTCTTGACTGCATTTGGGGTTTTCTTGACAAAGATACTGAAGTGGTTTGCCATTTCCTTCTCCAGCTCATTTTACAGATGAGAAAACTGAGGCAAACAGCATCAAGTGACTTACCCAGGATCACACAGCTATTAAGTATCTGAGGCCAGATTTGAACTCAGGTCTTTCTGACTCCAGGCCCAGCACTCTATTCATTGTACCACCTAGCTGCCTCTGTTGTAAGAAAAGTATTTTGTAAATCTGAAAGCAGGATGGAAATGTGATTTCTTATTGAGGAGATCACTGCGGATAGTATAAAGAACACAGGATCTAGAGTCGGAGGACCTGCCTTCAAATCCAGTTCTGCAGGGTACTTCTTGTGTGATCTTCTGCAGGTCATTTCCCTTCTCTCAGACTCAGTTTCTTCCTCTATAAAACAAGAGGATTAGACTAGATGATCTCTAATTTTCCTTTAAATTCTCAAATCTTCTGATCTTCACCTTTAGGATTGTGGTAGTAGAACTTAAGGCTGGAAGGAACTTGGTTATTGTTGTTCAATCATGTCAGTCGTGTCCAACTCTTTGTGACCTCATTTGGGGTTTTCTTGGCAAAGATACTGGAGTGGTTTGCCATTTCCTTCTCCAACTCATTTTACAGATGAGAAAACTGAGGCAAACAGGGTTAAATGATTTACCTAAGATCATATAGCTAGTAAGTGTCTGAGTCCAGATTTGAACTCAGGACTTTCTGACTCCAGGCCCAGCACTCTATCCACTAGGCCACCTAGCTGCTCCCAGAAAGGACCTTAGAAACCTCTTCTCCAACTATATCGTTTGAGAAATAAAACGAAACAGGGCCACTATGATCATGAATAATGGCTTCTTATACCTCCTAGAAACTGAACTCTCAAAATGACAAGGGCTGACTCCAGATCAGGTGGTCACTTGCACAGTAATTTAAGGGGTTTGGTAGCCCTCTCCATGACTAAATATAAATAAATTCACACACAGTGTTCCTATATCTGTATATATGTTTACTGGGAACACTGTGTATGTGTGTATATGTACATATATACTCACACATGTTCCAAAAGTCTTAGAGCAGTTTTAATCTACTAAAGCTTAAATCTTCACTAGCACTTCTGGGTACTCTGCATGTATGTGTGTGTACATATATATGCAAATATACATAAATACACATATA